CTCATTCTTTGTGTTTTTGCGTAAATTCTCTTAATACAATTTCATAAAATTAAGTATTATTAAACACTAAAGCTGAAAGGTTAATTGGAGGGTACTCCATTATTTTCAGAATATCAAAATGTATACCATAGATATAGCAGGATTATAATTTGTATATTTCAGATACTGGTGTCCGAGTATGAGCATACTAGATTGTAAAATCCTGATCATGTTTGATTATGCTTTCAGAAAAGCCTCAATTATCCCTTTAGAATTGAGTCACTGTTAAATGAAACTGATTGCATTTATTTATTATTTACTATTAAGTTTTTGTTAAGCAAGTAAGCACACGGAAAGAAAATAATAAAATAAGTAGAACTAATATTTATACGTTACTTACTTCTTTGGCTATTATTCACATACCGATAAATCCCATCCCGTTCTGCTTACATACTGATCAAGCATTTCGAATTTTTTGGCTGTTCTGGAAACTTTTTGCTGCACGTCACTCTGTGAAAGTTACTTCCCTTAAAGAACATAATTGCTTAGAAATCTCTTTAAAAGCAGAAAAATTTATTGATCACTAATAAATAATATAAATGATTAAATTACATATATTAAAGGAGTGAATGCATCAGCGTACACAAATGTATACCTTTTTTTTCTCTCAAAGAAGGTGGGGAAGGGAGCTGTTCTTTATCTCCCATTCTACAAAGATTCAACTTGCAGACTGATTAAACTGAAATCGATTGGCGCGGTCTTTATTCTCCTCTTGTTGACATATTTAAAGCATATTAATACGCGATTCTAGCAAGCAGAGAGGAAACAGATAACTTGAAATTAAAAATTAGATAAAATTTAACAGTAGGTAGTTTTGAGCTCTACCAATCACTAAGATATTTTCTTAATTGGAAAAGATTTCTATCAAATTATAAAAATGATATATAGCAGTGATAACGGTGTAGCAATTTTTGAGAATAAGAAGGAATTATCTAGAATAAATAATTAAAAAAATTATATTCAATAAGTGCATAGAAAAATCTAAATATCACTCTTTCAAAGCGTTATTTTTATGGAAAGACAAAAATTTAAATACTGTTTTAAAATTATCAGTTCTCAAACTCTAGAACATCCACAAATGAATCAACCCGATTATCGGGATAAAAAATAAATAAATAAATAAATAAATAAAATAAAATAAAATAAAAACTTATTGCTCGGTTGTTATGTTGCTATGGTTACAAACATGTTGCTCAAATCAAAAATAGTTTCAATTTGTATCTGCAGGAAATTGTTAGACTAAGGACTGGAACCTGTCTAATTCGCAAATTATGTAAAATTTAAAATTCAATGAAAATTAAAACTGTCATTTTTACACTTACTTTTCGTTCTGCCCATACATAAAATGTGAAAACAGTGAATAGATTTATTATGTTTTAAGTTACCTAAAATATACAATTCACTTTTTCACAAACATTTTTCTTAATTATTTTTCTTTCAACTTCTACAATTAATGTTTTCCTTCCGAATGTAGAGATATGTCATATTAGTATCTGCATATACTGGTAGATTTTTCAAATATTCAAAGTTACTGGACGTTAATATTTTATTAGTGTTCTTTGTTGCTGGGTACGTTGAGAAATAACATGATAATCTGTACAGAACTAGACCGGAAAGGGCTGGCATGTCTTTAAATTTATACAAAATTCAGAAAAGAATAGCAGCGGGAGACTTTAGTTAGTCAAAAATGATTATAATACATTAACCAAATACAGTTTCACTGAGTTTATAACAGATGGGAGGTTTCAGCCATGCGAATACATCCATTATTTTACTCTCGTATACAGCTAATATGAGCACTATTAGCTGACTCAATATATCGAATATTATATGCTCTTTCTGTTTTTAACGTGTCTAAAGGTATTGGTTTCCAGTAAAATCACTGTAAGTATATGAATTATAAATTAGTTTATTTCTATTTCGTGAATGTACCAAATTTTACTAATGTGTGACGTATTAAAACAATTCAGAAAGACTTTGTTGGCGTTTGCTTCTTTCATTTGATAGAAAATTATATTAAATATTTATAAATTTAAGGTTAGTTGGTACACTGAATACGTGTAAAAATTTGTTATGCTCCAGCTATTTTTTATGTTAAGATTTGCAAAAATTATTAATAGGAATTTCTTCTTTTTTGAAATTTACTAATAATTCTACAAGCTAACATTACTAGTAAAGCAATTGCTTCAAACATACTTCATAAGCATCATTCAGAAAGAAGATTAATTAATAACTAACATTTTGCATAATAGTGGTTTTTAGTCTAAATTTGGAAAATTCCTGTACACTTCGATATTTGGCAGTTTGATAACAAAATGTTTCAACTACCTCATACTCGGATTAATTATTAAAAAACAATACTTTATATCGAATAATATACTAAAAAACAGAAAGACTTATGAACTCATATATAAAAAATAAAATAATACATTACAAACTTACGCGTCTTTTAAACTTTATTATTTAGATTACGAAATATTTTTTTAAAATATTGCAATATGCAATCATATATAATTTCAAAATGTACAGTTTCAATTAGCTTTTCTGTGTACACTCAATAAATCAATTAACATCTCGAACGATATGATCTTCTCTTTTTCTAGCCCAAAGGGGTGTTAGCCAAGAAAGGCCGTTGAAACGACATTTTGCGTCGAATTAGTAAAAGCGTTGAAACACTTTTCAAATTGTTGCCGCCAAATATTATTTACCGGTATTATATTAAAAGAAAATAAATACAACCTGCATGAATGTATGTATGTTTCTCGTAAAACAACGGTGCCTAGAAGCATCATATTTCGAATAATGTAGTCTTCCATCCAAATATGGGTACCTGGAAGTCTGAATTTTGAATTCGTTTTATTATCCACTTCATATTTTATATAGCTTTAACGAATGTTTGATTAAAAACTCAACAGTTTCAAAGCGAGGACTAGCAACACTCTATTGAATAAAATATTTTTATCTTCAGCGCGCGAGACTTGTCTGTCGGAAATTCTACAGATGCGTTGATAAGTATTTTTAGCCCAAATGCTCCCGAAACGTGTATGTGCGTGTAAAACGCTATTTTAACTGCATCATTTAATTTTACTGGATTATCTTTTCAGTGGACAAACTGCGGCATAAAAATCATTGTTAAATAAGTCGAATAAATGCACAGTGCCATTAATCATCTGGAAATTGTTCCAGAATGTGTGCTTTCAAATGAGTGATATTTATAATTTCGTGTCCCGAAATTAGGAAATAAAATTTTAACGTTAATATATACCCCAGTTCACGGACATTTCCGAAGCTTTTTAGTACGTGTCAGTCACGCAGTATTGCTCTTGTAAAAGTATTTCCTGTTATACCGAAACCTCTTCAGTAAAACATGGAAGAATGAGAGTTTGAAACGTCATTTTGTAATAAATACCATTGTAATGCTGACAGTTATGAACGATTGAAAGCTAATTTCTAGCCCTTCATACTTTTAGTTATATAACGAAAGAAAAATTAGCAAATGCGAGAAAAAAGGATGCGCATTTACCATGTGCAGTATGGATTGTAATTTTCAGTATACTACGAACCACAATAAGTAAACATTTTTACACATAATTAGTAAACATACGAAACCTGATTTTATCAGAAACTTAGCATTGAAAAGTTTTCGACTCGTAAACCTATTAAAAACAATTTTGAAGGTTTGGTGTTATTAGATGGAAAGTCAAGGTAACCCCATCTTGAAGAATGAGTTAACAACATTGTTTAAGTGACGAAATTTGATGGATTATCAAACGCCGGCTGAGTAAATTAGTAAATGTACTTTTTCTGAAGTTTGTGTAAATAGAATCTATCGATTACAACTGATCTGAACATTCGGCGATTTCAAAAAATGACAATGTTTGACAAAGCAATCTTCCAGCAAAATGCTTCTCGAAAATTTCGTAAAAATCCTTCATATGAAAGATAACAACTGTCAGATTTAGGTTCCTATCCTTACATAGAAGTGTAGAATTAAGCTAGTATCCAAATAATCTAAACTGAACGTAACGGTAATGGAGCATTGTGCTCTTTACAGCTAATACAGAGTTTTGTCTACGCAGTGATTATTTATTGGATATCAGGTTCGTAATATCAACGAAAAGGCACACGTATTACACCAGATGTTTGTTTGCTTGATTAGTTATAATTATTAGGAGCCGGAATTAGAAATCTACACGTTCTGTAATATAACATAGAGGCATTATCAAGGTATGGCAGTGATGAACAATCTGGAGCCCCTATTTCTTGCTTTCTTAGACTTTAATATAATTTTGGGTGATAGTGCGTGCTACGTTTTACAAGAATTGCATCATCAGATAGTATATTGAGACTGAAACGCTGCTTTGTAAGCAATTACGACTAAGATTCTACAACTGGCAGCTGATAAAGTATATATATAGCATACTTGACGTATAACTATTGAACAAGATTTTCCTTACAGCATTTCAAGCTACGAACCTCCTTGCTATGTAAATGGACACTTACGAAACAAACATTCCCTGTTACTACGCTTACCTTTCCAGTATCATACATCATAATAGAATATAACAACTGGACATTTTGCAACCAGTAGAGAAATGTCCTTCTCTACTGGTTACGTCCTTCGTCTATTTACTTCATATATTTAATTTCTTTCTAACTGTGTACGCAGTGAGATGCATCCCGCAAGAGAAGAGGAATAATGATTATGTTTCTTTACATTAGATATAAGTCACGTGATCTATGCAGTTATCTGTCTTGCTGGTTTACATTAGCTTTACATAAGTCACGTATTATCTGAGGCCATTGGTAACAGTTTGTTATTATTTTGAAAAAAGAATCAGGCACCTCATATTAGTATTAAACGTATGATATTATTGTTTTATTAAAATTTCTATGCAGTTTCCTATTTAAAAATTAAAGAAAATATATAAAGAAAGTTTTATAAATAATTCTTTTTACAGTGCCTCCAGGAAAACCAGAGATTAAAGATAGCCTCGGACGAAGTGTGCAAGGTGTAATTCGCACCTACAATGAAGGAGACACTTTGTATCTATTGTGTGAGAGTCAAGGAGGTAGGATATTTCATTTGCATTTAGAGCCGTTGATTAATTATGATAAGCCACGTCATTGCTAATTCATGACATGTACTAACTTCAATTATCTAGCGAATAATATGCTGGATTTTTCTTGTCTTTGAACATAATATTTAATTTACTACACTGTCATTTTTCATAACATGGCTTTTTAACCTTTTTTAGATTATGCTAGTTAACATTCCTGTCTCACGTGCACGGCATAATAACTGATATTTTCTTTTCAAGTGTGGCATAAAAATTAATAGACTTCCATATACTACAGTGATAATGGGTTGTTACAGAGATTTGTACATTTTATCTACAGCAGTGCATTAGTTGTTTATCGATAATGCTAATACTTATCGAGTAACAGCGACTACGTCTATTTTGGACCTCTAAAATCTTAAATAACCATATAAATTGACATAAAATGTATTCGAAATTGTTACTTTTGTATCAGACAAACAGGTGCTAATTTTGAAAGCATCAGAAATACATCTATGATGTAGAACACTAAAACTGTATTTACATTAATTATAGATGTTAGTTAATGTAAAATATTATCTGAAAATTAGAAGATAAAATATTGTTTTAATTCCTAGTTGGATTATAATGATATGAACAGTTATTGATAAATATAGCTTCTTACAATTCCTCTAAAACCATTTTATTTCTTGAATTTCATTGTATCAGAACAGAAGACGTTTCTAACTCAGTTCTGTCAGGGGGAATAAAAGAACACATATCGATCGTTGCCAAAGTAAATATTCATGCGGTGTCCATCGATCGTCTCTGAATACTTAATTTTTATTCATTTGATAAGATCAAACAACTAAATTCTATAGGAAAGAATAGAGTTTCTGAAAATTTCCTATGTAGTTTTAAAAGAATGGAAACTGTTGCAACCTGAAGGCCTTTTTGAGGATTAGTCATTTTCATAAATGTACGCAAAATGATCAAATTTGGTATGCACTTTTTTTCTTTAACAAGAGTTCTAATTTTTGTGTTTTGCAGGTAAGCCACCACCAGTACTTACATGGTGGAGAGGTCCAGCTCTTATAGATGACACTTACGAAGTAACATCTGCATCTCATACCGTTCGAAACGAGCTTCAGCTCGAGAGCTTAAGTAGACGGGATCTGATGGCGGAGTTTACTTGCCAAGCATCAAACAATAATGTATCAGCTCCCGTTAAAACATCAGTATCTCTAGATTTAAACTGTAAGTATTCAAACCTCTTTTGTTATCTAAAGTTTCTTGCATTTTGAGGTTAAACAGAAGTAATGTAGGATAAAATTGTAGATAATAATGTAATTGATAATAATGTAGGCTTCATTTGTAGGATAAAATGTAAATAATTTCTTTATAAGTACATATTTATGAATCACTTTCCCCTTTCTTTGTACCCAGACATATTTGCCTTCGAATCATAAAACAATATGCCTATTTATTTTCGAATATTTCTTACGATTAAATAAATATTTTAATCAGAAGATATAAAAATAAATCCTAAAATAATATAAAAGACATCAGATAATTGCTATTTGTCAAATAATGAGATTTTACTTGATTAACAATCAAAAACTTTAACAGGTTCATTTTCATGCTATGTGACAACATAAATAAGAAAAAAAAAGAAATATCTCTTAAATTTGAAAGTTATTATTTAAAAATGCATAATTTGTATAGTTTATATTTAAGCTAAAATTTGTATCATTTAACACAATTTAAATAATTTTCTCCTACAAAATAACAAGAGCCATTAGAAAGGAATATTTTAATGCTCAATCAAAATTTTTTCGACTGATGACGACGAAATACAAGTTTCTTGCAATATTTGAAAATAAAGAAATCGTATCAATCATTCAGTTTAAAATTTTAAGCATATAAAACTTTGCTAAAGCAAGATTTCCTTCAGGATGTTATGTATTATTCAGTCTCTAAACTGGAATCGTATCTATTACTATTCTTCTTGTTATGTGAAAAAGATGATTTATTCAAGTTTTATATCATATACAGGCTAAGTGCAAAGTATATATCTTAAAATTAGTAATGTAAAGCGTCTATTAGTATAAAAAGACAGGAATTTCCATTAAAAATATCATCCAATAAAAATACAAGACATTTAGATTGTTTGCGAGATAGCCAACGAATGTGTGATAGAAGATCTAAAATCATAGAATTCATTTAGAGTCATTGAATCATAGTATCATAGCAATACAGATTGATCTTGACAGTGCTACTAGAAACAGCATTGTTACTTTCTTGTTATTTCATATGAATCGTATTCAATGTTAATTATAAAACACTGAAACAAATGCTGAGTACTTGATGCATGTTTAAGGCATTCACTTAACACCATCTACCGAAAAGTTGCTGTTCAAGAAGAATCCTCCATTTATTTCTTCCTAGTAGAAAATAAAATGCTTTTTGACCATTTTCACTGCTGTTGTCGTCACATGTACTTGAGATGCAATATTAAGCAAGTTAAGTAATTTTAATCTAGAATTTTGTTTCATTTTACAATAAAGAAATCTCTGCAACTAGAAGGAAATTCCTTTCTTCTCGTGGTCATGGTTACAATTATCTACGTGAAAGACTCGTAATTTATTTTATATACCTAATACATTGGAACTGAAGTTATCAAACAACCGGATATATTTTATTGGAATTTTTCTTTGTAATTCACATTATTTATTCTGAGTGCTGCAGTGCACTCTGAGAATGCAATTTCAGTAAGAGGCCGGATATGATAAGGGCATTTTATTTAATGAAATTATCTTTCATCGTAACCAATAAAAGTATTCTGGCGCAACGGTCAACAGTATAAACAAACTGGTAGAAAATGTATTCAATAGTTTAGAGACATAATGCGCACTAAAATTCTCCTTCTCTTAACCGATTCAGTGGCGGATGCTTTAGTATTTGAGGAAAAGCAAACCCAATCTAAGCCGGCCGTTCGGAGAAGCGTAATTGATGGCATTATAATCTCCTCTTGGTGCTCATATTTGTTTCCTCTTTCCGTTATAAATAGCCATGCTGATGGCATTAACCTCTACGAGAAGAATAAACTCATAGTTGTGCGGTACCATTACAGCGCGAAAATGTGTAATAATGCTGGGACGCAGCTCACTAAAGAGCGTTATTGCAGTTTTTTGTTGTTTCCCCCCTGTGTTAAATAGGGCGTCCCGTTGTTGCAAAGAGTGGAGAAAGATCATTTTTGCTAGGTACCCAAACGCGTATTATTTCTGCAACTTCCTATAATGTCCTGAATAAGTTAAAATAAATCTTTGTTTTCTATTCATTACAAGAAGCCGAAATGATCAAATAGATTTGACTAGTACTAGATTCTAATACTTTCTTGGTATCTCACCATATTTAAAAAAATTAAATATACTTAAATTGTGGATCAACATTTAAGGAAAATATTGATCACAATTTATATTTAAGTATATTTAATACAGTGGAGATCAATATTTAAGGAAAGTTCCATTACATAGGGATTTATATATGATTTCGATATAATTTAATGCTTGCTTGCAAATTTAAAAGAACTTTCCAAAGTATTAACACAGTGTTAATATTTTTTTAAAAAAAGTATTTTTGAACAAGGTTTTTGTACTATGATGTATACATATATTGCACTATGTAACCGATGAAATGTAACCAATGTATAGTAAATTTATTTCATTAAATATATAGGTCATATTCGTACACAAAAAGCTCTAACTGTCGTTTTTGAACAATATTTTTTCAGTATTGTACAACATTAAAAAGAATTAGGTAAAATTATATTCCGAATAACGATTATTGGAGGTGTTAAAGAGACATGAATCAGCTTTATAGTCATAAATTTGCAGAACTAGTTTTGAAAGTTTAAAGAGATAATCTTCTTCGTTAAATTCTTATCCACTTACCTTATCTTATCACTGGCTTCTCTTTCCTTTGCAATTCTGCAGCTGATGAAGAAGGTTCTGTATTTAAACCTTAGAAGGTAGTCTTGCAAGTTAATGAATATCACTCTGATTCTTGTTGCTTTAACTCCTCTAAAATAAAACAGTGATGTCTAGACATTATTTCTCACTAAAATGTAACACTGAATATTTTTAATTTGAAATTTGGAACATTAGAATACGAGTGCAAGAGTATTAGTTAGGTGGGGATATCTAGTTAAAATTTAAATTCTATATAAAAACAAATAATTTGGGAAGGTTGCGCTGTCTCCTAAAAGTCGGTTTATCAAATCTTTGAATGTAATCATAGCTAAGATTTGCCTGAGTCTCTTTAATGATGGAATGTATTTAACTAGTAAAATTACGAAGAGTACCTGAATTTAAGTTGAAGAATGAAACAAAGGTTGCTGCATGATTTTATCTAAAGTACTTAAATAGTTTTAAGAGACGATTAAAAAAAATCATGAACTATTATAAAATCCATTCACTTAGCCTCACTTTGCTTGAGACAGACTGTAGCGAATAGTTTATCCAACAGATGGCAGTATCTGCCAAGCTCCTTTGGTAATTGTCATTGCGCATGCGCAAGCGGAGTGTAAAAAGAAGTATGTTATTAGGAGAATGAGCTTTCGTTAATAATGTTGCTGCGCGTTTTCGCTGTGTAAATAAAAGTATATTTTTATATCATAGATGTTCTTTACTCTCTAATGCGAAGCACTAGGTTAGTGCACGAATCTCTTCTGATTCAGAAACCATTTTCCAAACCGTGGATCACCACAATAAAAAGTGGCGTCCGTCGACAGGACGCATTAGTTAGGTAAAGGACACTTTTGATGGTTTAACAGCAGAAATGGAAGCCTTGAAAGTAAGAAGAATACCACTGCGTGCAGCCTTCACGAAAGCATATAATAGCCTACATGGACATTTGAATGAGTCAGAATTGAACAGTGATGTTCTATTATCGTCCCTGGAAATCCTGGAAGATAAAGGAATTCGACTACAACAGTTGGATGAAGAAATATTGGATCTCCTATCAAAATCGAAAGAAGTCTCGCAAGAAGAATATACTAAAGAATTTGAGTCATGTGAGACTTACAAGGAGAAATTAATAGCAGCCAGGATGAAAGTGAAGCAAATCACTGTGAAACTAGAGAAAAATTTGCTGACTCATGCATCGGTAAATGAAACCAGAACTGTTGATTCAAGAACAACGGCAACGAATTTGAAGCTTCCGAAAATAAATTTGATTGAATTTACAGGTGATCCACGACAATGGTTGAATTTCTGGAATACCTTTAGTAAGATACACGAAGATCCAGTGCTAGATGATCATTTGAAATTCGTATATCTGATCCAGGCTACTGCTGCCAAATCGAAAGCACGGGAAATAGTGCAGAGTTTCCCGACAACTAAAGAAAATTATCCGAAAGTCATCGAACATTTAAAGAATCGTTTTGGACGTGAAGATATTCTTATACAAGTGTACGTTCGGGATTTATTGAATCTTGTGTTGATAAATAATAATGCAACCAAAAAGGACTTTGCGCTATCATCGTTGTACGACAGTTTAGAAACAAAACTGCGTGCTCTGGAATCTCTCGGTGTGACTGAAGATAAATACGCTAGTGTTATTTTTCCGTTAGTTGAATCTTGCCTGCCCCCTGACATCTTACGCGTGTGGGAGAGGGAACGGGAGAGCTCGTCACAACAAGGTAAGAGCGATCTTGAATCTATTCTTCTGTTTTTGAAAAATGAAGTGATATCTGAAGAGAGAATTAAATTAGCGCGTTTTTCTTTTGATAAAAGTAGAAAATCTAAAAGTTACATTAATGATGAGTCTAATATTCCTACTTGTAATGATTTGTATACAGGAGACAAATTTAAAGAAAATGCTCCTATTAAGAAAGTTGAGGAATCGTGTTTATTTTGTGATAAGCCACATTTAACAGAAAAATGTTTTAAAGCTAGTACGCTTACATATCAGGATAAAAAAGATTTAATATTTAAGAAGGGTTTATGTCTATTATGCTTGAAGAAAAACCATATTTCTCGTAACTGTAAGTCCAAGGTTAAGTGTTTAATTTGCCAGAAAAGGCATTTGGCAGTAATGTGTCAACAAGTTCCTTCTCAATTGAAAGAGACTAAACAAGTAGAGCCTGTGGCGAAAAAATGAGGTCAATGTTTTGGCTAGCAGATCCGCGAGCTCCGATGTGTTACTACAAACATTAATCGTAAGGGTAAAAAATGGCAACAGGGAAAGGATAGTCA